GAAAACCACACATTTTTATTGCCAGGCTAAAAGGAAGAGTTTAAATTTGCAAATTGTTAAGGATATTTTTTAAGAAATGAAAGGGAAGGCAAATACCTTAGAAAACCTGCTAGACTCGGATATGCATCTTTATTACAAGCTACAATGAGAAAATGTGTGACAATAGTTTGGATCACTCTGTGGTAAATGGACTCGAAAAACTCAGGTTATACATTTAGCTCTAGACAGTGAACTTATTTTATAGCTAACTTTAAACATAGCTACTAGGTCACGTGTATAGGTGAATATTTATCAACTTTACCATAACTCCTCCATTTCAGTCTAAGAAAATTATGTACTCGAATGCTGAATCAGCAGAATATTTTACATCTGGTTACTCTTCCTAATTTATACCAAAGATTGACATGCATGTCAGGAACACAGTTAACACCAAGACAGGCATACTTAACCATATTCAAATTATTGTGACCATGGTATTACAACTAAAAGCTGCCAGACAGCAGCCTGGTGGACAGGCAACAATAATTTGTACCAGCTAACATTTCTGTTTCAATATCTTTCTTACCTTTAATGCTAGATCAACCTGATCTTTAATGTTTTGAATAATATAACCTTGTACCCCAGCATGTTGACTTGTCTTTAAGAGACATCTATAAAAAGTGAAACAGAGAAGAATCTGAAACAAGTACCTTCAATAAATAATGCTTTGCCAACAGGTAATGTATATTGTAATTAACACCTTTAATACCAACAGAATGCATTAATCTCAAATCAGCAATTAGCTCTTGAGTCACTGGGCCAAGCTTGCACAAGTGTAAAGGTAAAACCGCATCAGTTTACTTTGTGAAAATGTGCAATTTTCAAGTTGGGTTAACAATTTGGATTTTAAAGGCACAGAAAGTGCTAACATATCTTTTACTGTTACTAAAAAGTCTATTTCTTGTAGTGAATAAGATCCGATATGCATAATCAGAATGCATTTATTCCATATCTAAATAGATATTTATTAAAAAGAACAGTGTTGCAGTGTGGAGGTGTTGCAATTTTCTTTACCGTAATTAAAGCATTGAACCAAAACCAGTTTTACAATTTGATACACACAGAATATCATTCAGTGTTGGTCTTTGTAGAGGTTAGTTGTGCATTGATCTAACGCAATGTAAGATGAAACCAACCCAGTTTTTCAAGCATGAGAATGCTAAAATATTTAGATTTAGAGAGTTGATCGCTGGGACTGATGTGCAACCAAGTATTTTATACATTTGATAAAACAAATTAAAGTGGTGTGGTTCTCCATAGATGTGGACAAACTTGAATATTCCCCCACTAGAATGAGAGTTTCTACCAATACTGCACTGAAATGTTACTTGTGGCTCTTGTCTGTAAATCAGAAAATAAGTTAGATTTGAGGTATCTGTGCCCAGAAACATCATGTATTGTGGATATTGTATTTGTTTTTGTCCAAGATGTAATTAATATTATTGTGCTTGTATTTCTAATAAGTTAAATTATGCCAAATGTATTTACATGAGTAATTGCCTAATTTGTGGCTCTATGACTTAGCAATAGCACCTAATTAAGGCTCTTGCTGTTTTGCTTGAATAACGACTGATCTTTTAACTGGTTTACTAATCTAATAAAATGCAACTGATTTTCCCAATACTTTTTATATATTTTTTATTTACTCTGTTAGCAAGCAAGCAGAACAACATACAAAACATCCAATCAGATTAAACCAGTGCACAAAACATTAACATGCATTGTGCAGCATTTGAAATTAAAAATGATTATGAAAATAACAGCACAACTGAACCCTAACATGGTTACCAGCTACGAATGGCTGAATCGTGATCGCAGTATTAACCACAAGCAGTACACTATCCACAACGGCTATTTTAATAATGTCGTAGCAATAGCATTGTTGATAAACTGCACAATGTCTTGTTTCCATTTATTGGTCTGTGCGTCAATGTATTGTGGATCAGCTAGTTGAATTACTTTGTCTTTTTCATTTCCATTTACTTGTCGTGCTATGTCCGTGCTCGGTTTATACCTTAAATCTATTTGAAACTGGTTTACAAAATGATGATTTGCCATTGTATGTAGTTAGTGATTAGTACCATTGAAGGTAGTAGTTAAATTAAGTCACACGAAAGGTAGTCTTCAGCATCCCCTTTTGAAATATCTAGTTGCATCAGAATTGTTACAACATTTAGTATTATGAATTGTTTCAGGAGACTTAGCTGACTGTGACAGATCACAAAGCTACGTGTATGATCGCCGTCCTTCAAAAACACTGTCTCCCATATACGAGATGGAAATTACAGAAGACATGGAGCAGAAGTCTGAAGTGGAAATGAACCATTCGCAACAGGAAGAAAATAAGTACTTTGCAGAAAGAGACTGGACCTCTTAAACAGCTCCTCGGTGATCAAGACCCAAATTATGGGGTTATTAACTCTGTACCCGAAGACGTCAACCTAGCTCAGTACCTGATCAACCAAACCCTTTTCCTTTCCAGAGATGCTCCTAAAGTTCAAGGTAAAATTGCTGTTGACAAAGAGGCACTCGGTAAATGGACTGAGCTCCTGTCTCCTTCGGAGGACTCTACAGCTAGCATTACAGTGACAAGTTTTTCCCCAGAAGATTCAGTGTCTCCTCAAGGAGAATGGACGATTGTAGAACTGGAAACACATCACTAGCAGAGCCTCTGAATTGTGTACATACGAGTGATTTTTAAATTGCTGAACTTTCTGTAGCTCGCCTTTAAGATTCAAAAACATTAGTATATAATTGAATGCAGCAGTACATAACAGAAATACAGAGGAATAAATTAACCTGTGTTATAGAACTGTCACTAGGTTACTTTTGTAAATTAGTCGCTTTTGTGTGTAAAATAGGACAACCTTTACGTATGTACACTTGTTGGAATTCAGTTTTTGTCTTGAACGGTTTTCCATGTAGAAAAACCTTGTAAAGTAATGATTTGTTCAAGTGGACATCTTCTTTAATGCCTGGAATAAGAAGAAACCTTATTTGCATTGTCAGTGTAAATTTGTGATGCTTGTCAATGCTTAAAAGTGATGAATAAGAATTTCTTGGTACAATATGTGACCAAACTTGACTTTTTCAAAAACATTTCTTAATTGGGTAATGATGAAGGATACAAAAATTCTCCCCATTTTCTTGCAGCCGTTTATTGCACAGAGTTCATTTTGGAACCTGGGGCACTGTAATGATTTGTAGGGATCTTGAGATTTTTAAATCAGCAGCATCAGTATTTATTTGCTTAATTCCCTTTGACAAAAGTGGAAAGGGGGCATTTAATGACCTGTTGCAATTTGTCATTTTTTTTGTGAAAAGTGAGAACCTTTACACCATATTTACCACAGCCTTGCTAATTGGACAGAAAAATACAATCCAAAGTTTACAAGAACTACACGTTTAAAAAAAATCTGCACCATAGATTTCCTACTAACTTTATTTGGGAACTTGCTCTAAATACGACTGGTTAATTTCTATTTGAGGTAATCTGCACGTGTACAATTTGATCATAACTTTTATGTTGCTTTATGCTTTTTGACAAAGAATTACATGGCAAAAGGGATTTAGGATAATGTCCTCTCACCCAGGGATTAGACTGTATCCAATTTGGCAAAATAAATGAAAATTGAACCTTTTGCTTTATGGCTATGAAGGATTAACTGAAGTGAGATACAAAAATACCCACTCCACAACATGAAATGTCACTCAAATGGGGTTTATTTGGCACTAATTCAATACAGAAGAAGATTGAATTACTAGAGTAAAATAGCTTTATCGGAACAATGTGTGACTAGACTGGTCCTGAAGTATTCATAGTTTGAAGTTAGGAAGCTTTCCCATTACACCATTGCCATTACTCCTGGCTTTGAAGAGCTCACACAGAAATACTGTAATTTTAGATCCAATTTAAACCCAAAAGGCATGTCGCTGTTTAAAAATAAAACTTAAACTACATGTGCGTGCTGGTAATTGAAGGAAGACAGAGACTTGTTAATGAGCGAAAAGGCCATTCAGCAAATTTGATTTTAAAATTGCAGCTTTTATACAGTGGAAGATTTTTATTCTGAATACGCTACCTCATGGACTGTGCCTGTTAGAAAAAGGAAGCCCGTTCTGGGGAACAAATGTAATGGTAGGTTTGCTGGATGTAGATTTTTAACCTTACAGTCATTGTTCAATAGTTATGGTTACAACATGGAATGCATTGCATGCTTTCACTGTGAAAACTATTTTCTTTTTCATTTGCTGCATTTGTTTTTAAAAAATAAAGATTAAATGCAATTGACAGTGATTAATATATTTCAGTGATTTAAAATATTACAAGACCACATTTTGTTTAATTTTATAATCTTATTTTTTTTAATCCCCTCTCGCATTTTTAAAAGAGGTTTTGCACTCCTTCATATTAAACCTTATACTCTGGGTGAGAGCTGCAGCATATTCATTTCCAGACTTCCATGCCCACATATGTGATGTGCAAGAATATTTCTGAGTTTAAGGCCTATAGGCAAACAATAATAATACTTGCATTTGATACAGCGCACTATCATGTCTTTGACGGGTCTTAAAGCGCAACGGATATACTGTAAAGTGAATTGAATGTATATCTTGTGGGTGAAACACAGCAGCCAATTACACACAGCACTGTCCCACAAACAGTCATGGATTGAGTGACCAATTTATTATAATTATTTATTGGAAGGAATTATTTTTGATGAAGGAATTACAACTGGAGCTCAGTGGCATTTTGAAAACCACACATTTTTATTGCCAGGCTAAAAGGAAGAGTTTAAATTTGCAAATTGTTAAGGATATTTTTTAAGAAATGAAAGGGAAGGCAAATACCTTAGAAAACCTGCTAGACTCGGATATGCATCTTTATTACAAGCTACAATGAGAAAATGTGTGACAATAGTTTGGATCACTCTGTGGTAAATGGACTCGAAAAACTCAGGTTATACATTTAGCTCTAGACAGTGAACTTATTTTATAGCTAACTTTAAACATAGCTACTAGGTCACGTGTATAGGTGAATATTTATCAACTTTACCATAACTCCTCCATTTCAGTCTAAGAAAATTATGTACTCGAATGCTGAATCAGCAGAATATTTTACATCTGGTTACTCTTCCTAATTTATACCAAAGATTGACATGCATGTCAGGAACACAGTTAACACCAAGACAGGCATACTTAACCATATTCAAATTATTGTGACCATGGTATTACAACTAAAAGCTGCCAGACAGCAGCCTGGTGGACAGGCAACAATAATTTGTACCAGCTAACATTTCTGTTTCAATATCTTTCTTACCTTTAATGCTAGATCAACCTGATCTTTAATGTTTTGAATAATATAACCTTGTACCCCAGCATGTTGACTTGTCTTTAAGAGACATCTATAAAAAGTGAAACAGAGAAGAATCTGAAACAAGTACCTTCAATAAAGCATTGCCAGTCACACTGCATAGCTAATAGGTCAATATGAGGAAAGGCAATCAATTCCAACCTCCCCATTACAATTATCATCTAGATTGTGTTAGAGCAATCATTAATTAATTCAACCGAAGGAAATGGAAACTGCACAATGCAGTAAATAATGATAGCATAAGCAACTCTGTTAAACCCTAAGATTGTACAGGAACTCTTAAGTTTTCTTTAGTGTGACTTAGACACTTGACAGAGTATGATCATTTTAGTTCGGTAAGGTGTCAAAATTGCTTTTAACTACTTTACAAGTTGCTTCAGGATATACTAATTTCTAAAGAATTAAGACTCCATATATACTTATCTAGTAAGATTTAATCACTCACATCTTATCTCGTCTAACAGATAAAATATGATAAAATATTTTTTAATTACTTTGTGAATACAATCTTTTAAAACTAAAAAGTGGAATCTGTCTTGGCCTATTTCAATATCAGGAAAACAGAAAAACAGTATTGTCTAATCATAACTTACCTAAATAATTTATACTTTCCTGATGTGTCAAACTTATTTATATACTGTTGAAATATCCTTAGGCTCCATTTCCGCTGAAACAATGAGGACAATTACATCTAATGAAAGAAATCAACTTCTTTAGATAATTATATTTTTTATTTCTTATGATTTCATGAACACGTACCAGGTGATCAATAGGGCAGAGGGTCATCACCTTCACTAAATCCTGAACACAAATTCGAGAAATAAACCATTAAAACAAAAACAAAGATGCAAACACAAATCATGATGCTGATTACACATATGACAGTTTGATGCAAATTAAATTTCAAATACTGTACTTGTAGTTATTTCTCCATCTTTATTATGCTTTACCTGTGCAACTCCAAGAATGTTTTTGATCTCCAAATATTCATGGGAAAGACTATTATCTTCAACTGGTAATAAACACTGTTCATGCAATTCCTGCAAAATAGATTCAAATTGACATAGACAAGTGAGTAAGTTCAGTTAAAAAGGATAGTAAAATTCACATCAGTCAGGACCATAACATTTAATGTGATGTGTGCTCAGTCCGAGTTGAGGCAAACTGTACAAGTCATATACAATCCAATGCAATCAATCTACACGGCGCATGTGTAATTGAATGCATCCGGTAAGCGCGCATGCATCGATGGACCAAAACTACATGTTCTGCAATTCAATGCAGCCGCCCAGAAAGTGTGCATGAATTGATGGGTCAGGACTTCATTTCCCGCTTTTCAATGTAGGTAACTGCGGCAATAATGGAGAGCAGGGGAGTGGCATTATGAATTAGGAGTTGATTAATACGCGTAGTGCAAAAACATCTCAGTGGTTTTGATAGGAAACTGAATGGGACTTGGGTGAATGTACGACTTGGGTGATTATACAATTCATAAAGATAAGACGTATGTAAATTTTACTGTGTTTATATTGCAGACAATAGAAAATAATGTCAATTCTGATTAGATACAAGTACTATCTAGTAGTTAACTAAGAAGCTTTAGAAATTCAAATGGCAACCGTAAACAACAGAAAAAAAAAAAATCTTACCAGTCCTTTAGATAGAATGGACTCTTCCGTCCTGCCATTAAAATAATTTAAGTTATTTTATGCAACCAGAAAGTTTTTTTTCTAAAAAAAAGTTTTGTAATTATAAACAAGAAGCTTCACTGTTATTGCCAACTTAAAACGTTATGTAAACATTGTTCCAAGCTTTCAGGAGATTTAAACTATTCCCCATGGAACACAGTTTCCAAAAACCTTTGAAAGTCAAAGGTCTGAGGAAGATCTATTGAACATATTAAACACGTTAAGTCTTATTCCGTTCTTTTAACATTACCCGAAACTATTTTTGAATGAATAAAATCAAAACAACTTCTTAAGCATGTGCCATTCTACTACTGGAAAATACAAACAACCCTGTTATAACGCGGTGCGTTGGGTCCAACAAATTCCACACATTTATAACGGATGTGCAAAAAAAAAGTCTTGTGGGTCATCAGATAGCAGCGGGCCATGTACTATCCAGTATCAAACTTGTGTTATAAGTGAATTTAGAGAGGGGCTTTATAACAGGCTCTATATAGTATCGTTACTTTAGGTTGTTACATTACCAGTTGAGCTTTCACATTAAATGTATACAAAAACTCTCAAAATTAATATTAATATTTAACTCACCTTTTCATCATGGTGGCTATATAGTCCACATTATACTGAAGAAAGAATGCAGGGCTGAAAAAAACATTTAGTTTATTTAGCATCATTAACCTTACAAATAGTAAACATCTAAATACACAAAAATGGTCTTCAAGAAATGGCTAAATATACCATTCATAAACCATTTAAATAACAAGTTGTGATATTTAGTATGTTTTTTTATCAAAGAAATTTCTGGAATCAAATCATGAATGCAAAGTATTGTGCAAATTGTACTTGTTGATCCTACTCCAGCAATTTTAATATTGATGGCATTTACAGAAAAGTCATCATTATCACAAATCCTGGTATCACCAAAGATTACTTCAACATTTGACCTTGCATCCCTAGCACAAATACAATGTTTGTATAATCAATGCATATTCCAAAAAGGTATAGAAACGTAGCATTAATGGAATAATACTTTACATACCTGTATACAGCTGGAAAATGATCAATACCAATATGCTGGACAAATAAAAGGTATGCCAGGCAGGCTAATGAATTCATAGGATACTTTATATCTTCCTGCAGAGGGTCAGTCTCTTCCTGTTTCTTCCTGGATTGTACCATCAACACAGGAAGTGACTCACCAAGAGCTAACAGAAAAACCTGCAGCAAACGAAGATTTATTAAAAACACACATACTTCATCACTTCCATAATAATAGAAGTATAAATACATCAGATATTAAGATTCATGTTTTAAAATGCAAATTTAGAGAACAAATTCCTCTACAGAGTCGAATGCAAATTTAGCATATCCATTAAGCAACATTTTTTGCGCTATAGGCTGCAACAAAGAAACGAATGGAAATCTTTACACATATTCTAAAAAAAAGTACCTTGTTCCATGTTTGAAAAGTGCAAGTTTCATTTACTTATGATTAATAATTCCACTGTTGTTCATAAGAGAATAAAGCCAAAATTATTAGAAGTTGCAGTCAATTTTTTTTAAGAATGAGGAAACTCCATGTTAATGTAAACTGTACAATCAGGGTAACTTTCAGAAGCTGAACCACCTTGGTGAATGAGTTTGCATGGGCAAATTAAGCTTACCAGAATTTCATCAGCAAAAGTTCTCAACAAATTTTCTTCAGTCTCTTCAGGCAGTGGATCTAAATGTGCCCTCAACAGTGGGTATTCCAAGCTTTTCATACAACTATATAAATTACAAAAAGACCAATTAGATGTTACACAAAATTTTAGATGCTTATTAACAATGCATTTTTTTAAAAAGCATTCTGTTAAAAGTGCTTAGATTACCGAATTGAAAAAAGTACCTACAATTTCAGTAGTTCCTCCTTCAGTTGATCATTAGAGGGATTTGATTTAGATTCTGATATTTGACCCACTTCATCCACAAATGGTTTAACAAAAGAGGCAACAGCCATACAACACTTGCAAAGATCATACGTATCATGTTGGCGTTGCTCATTGGTGCAAGGTACAGGTAACTGGGAGAGTTGGGTTATTATTGTTGAGAGCGTTAGTCCCACGGAGTATGCCTTCTTATGTCCCAATTTTAATAGCACTAGAAAAACAAGTTTATTTTGCCAAGTCAATTTAAGAAATAACACGCATGCATTGGAATCTTATTTTTCAATACATAGTTTTTACCAGAGATGAAAAATATCTCCAAGTGTTGTCAAATAGTATTCTATTGCTGAACCCAAAACGTAGCATGAAACACTACTTTTAAAAAAAAATACAATTCAACTCCTTTGGTAGTTGCTATTGCGGTGTATTTTCTTTAATCTGCAATTACTGTTATGATATAAAGAGACAAACTAAAATGTGAAATTATAACACTTTTGTACAAAGTAACACAATTTAATTGTTGTTTCCTTCTACTCTTGAAACTCCTGGGGTATAGTTCATTGGCCATCCACCACTACCTCACCCAAGTGGCAGATGGATATTCCATCATTGTGGATCTGGCAAGAGGAAAGGAAGAGGAGCGGCAAAACATTAGTTGAACTCGATCATGTTTCACCCAGTGACCCAGACATTTGAATTTTGCAACATGGGTTATTTGATAGCAATAAAGAATGGAAATCCTCCTGATTTCGTCCTCCCTATTTCCGGTGCCCTGTGGCAAATTGTAGTGCTCTTACCACTGCTATTGCTAAGATCAGTTAACAAACTAGTTATTGAAGCTTCATACTGGGATTTGAATTCATCAACTTGATCAATGGGACCCAATTTAGAATATTACCTGTCTGAAGTGGCTGCAACAGCAATAAGATAGATTTTGATATCTTCTCTCCATAAGCTTCCTCAACCTGCTCCAGTAAACCTACCAGAAGTTCCTTTGGGTTACTTATCTGTGGGAATGACATAAAACACTGAAAAATGCACCAATATTATTAAAGCATATCTACTTTACTTAATAAAATGGCAATTAGCTATTGTGAACATTTAAGATTTTGAAACCATTTATAAATTTTCAAAAAAGTGAAGCTTCAGGATTTATTGCCCAACCTATATAAACAGTTAAACAGTTGTGAATTCAGGTTGATGATTAAATTTATACACTCGGTGTAATCTCCCTTACCTGTACTACAAGGTCCAGGATTTTTGAGCAGTTTTCCCTATACTCTGTTTCTTGGTTGTCCTTTAAAATGCAACCAACGACAGGACCGACAAGATTCCAGCCCATGCAGGTAACAAAATCCTGTCAAATATTAAATGATGTAAAATGTAAATATGAAGCAGATTACATGCAATTAATTGAATCTTATTTAGGGATTCAATACATATTGCAGAATACACACTATTCATATACATTGCAATTATAAACTTGCCTTGTTCTGTTCCTCCTGTAGGATTTCCAGAAGTTTAACCACATGTCCTTCTTCTAGGCATTCACTGGCTGCTGTCTGGAAGATGCCATGATCTTCAGCTTTAAACTCTGCTTCAGGTATACCTCGCTAATGAAGTAAAACAACCATTTTAATCCCTGTGAAGTGGACAGCACTTTCTGACATTTTTACTTGATACTGTATTTCTTCAAGCAAACCATATCTAAACAGTAAAATGTGATCCAGCATACAAGTTATTCCCAGAAACTGGAGGTTTATACTGTTGCAACAAATCAGTAATTTCAACACAAGATTTCCTCCTCTACATAATTTAGTAGATTGTTGGTGGATCATTTGCTAAAACTGAATGATTAACAACAACAAGATTTCATTTATACAGCGCCTTTCACTTTGGGAGGACGTCCCAAGGCGCTGGACAGTTGTGTCAGGACCCGAGCAGGGGGGAAATGGTCAGGGGAGGAAAGGGAGGGAGCGAGGAGGGGGTAGAGAGTCGACAGGGGAGCTGAAGGCACGGTCAAAGAGAAAGGTCTTGAGACCGGCCTTGAGCCGGTTTTATTATATTAAACATATTGTAATATTCAACAAATGTGAAATGTATATAATAAATATATATATGTATATGTATTGTTGCATTATATTACACCTCTAAATCATGCAACAATCCGTACAATCAATTCTGCAACACAGCTCAACCTATTAAAAAAAAGCCACTAAACCTTAAGAGGATATTTTTCTCAATAATTTCAGGGATAGGAAGGTTTGAAACAGATATTTTCTGCACAAAAGCAGACTATTCAGTCTATTGTGTTTGTGACATTAAATATCAACAGCAACCATATCCCCTCACTGTCGACTACCCACTTATTCTCCAGTTCTTTATTTTCTATCCACCATTAAGAGTTATAAAATTTGTAACTACCTTTACAACTCAAAGCTGTTGAAAAGAATAATGGACACTGAGCAACAAGTTGTACAGAACATTTGTGATCGGGTTTTTCTCTGAAATTATACCAATCACCGTGGATCCCATCAAGATCCAACTGTTGACCTATCCTATGTAATCAAATAACAACAAAGCTCAGTGAAATCTAGCACTACAATACTTACACATCTCTGAATCACTGCTTGTAGTTCTTCCAAAGCCATTCTGACGTTACTTTCTACCTACACCTAGGAATACAATGCACAAGAAAAACACCAACATCCAGTTACGTTAATATCTTTTTTAAGCTCAATACCATAACTTTAATAGCAGCATCCATTTCTGACCACCCTTGAACCAGATTTACACACATTACATATGGATGAGACGAGTCTATATCCAGTAGTGCTTTAAGGGCAAGTAACCATTTCGCCCACAAAATATAGTTTACAGTATATTCTGTGAAGAGCTTTGAGATATCACAAAGATGTGCTAAGGCACTATATCAATGCAAGGATTATTATAAGATAATAAAAACCTTGTAAACTGACATTTTTAAATAAAATATTACAATTATACTGTTTAATTACTTTAATTTGTTTTTAATTAAGTTAATATTTTTACAGGTGTTTGCGATGATTTGTGTGGCTTTTTTTTAAAAATGTTTGCATTTATATTTTCCTTGTCCCATTTCAAACTCATTATGTCTATACAATACTTAATTGCAAAGAACAGCGACTGTAAAAATCTGATGTTAAGAGTAGAGTCGCAATGTACAGTGTAAGGGTTTCCAGAGTTCATCGGCAGAATGAAAGCGGGTGGGTCTCGTACATTCAGGAGATACTGTAATTGGAGCATTGGCGAAGGTCATAGAATTTGCATTGCAGACAAGTAGCTGAAAGCTCTTTGTTCCTTTATTTTCCATCATTACAGCGATCATTACAGCATAGGGCCATTTAGCCCCTCGAGCTTGTTCCTCCATTCTATTAGATCATGGCTGATCTGTACCTGCCTTTGGCCATATCCCTTGATTGTACAAAATTACATTTGTATAGCGCCTTTCACATCGGGAGACCCAAGGCGCTGGACTCTTCCCTCGGGAAGCCCCTTTCCTAACAAAAATAGGCAGGGGTGTCGAGGGATACCCTCGACCAATGCAAGGCATACATTTGAGTCCTGTAGCTCAGTGGTTAGAGCACTCGCTTTGCAAGTGAGAGACCTGAGTTCAATTCCAGGCAGAGGGCGAAACCTTGGGCAAGTTTCCTCACTCCACACAGAGCCTCATAATAATCCCTCCCAAACCAAAAACAATAATAAATTGGTCATTTTCAATCTACGACTGTTTGTGGGACATTGCTGCGCGCAATTGGCTGCCGCGTTCGCCCACAAATATACAGTCAATTCACTTTACAGTGTGTTCTGTGAAGCGCTTTGGGACGTCCTCCCGACGTGAAAAGCGCTATATCAAATGCGAGGATGATTATTATTATTATTATACAGTCCATCCTAGACTGCGTTCTTGTGATCTGCTGCTGCTGAAGCGGAGACGTTTCAGCACCGATACGCGCTGGCCGCCCGGGAGGAGCGAGCGCTGAAACGACGCTTCCCTTCTCGCGTGCAGAGCGACGCCGAGTCCCGAGTCCGGCGTGTCCAATTCCCGCGCCGCCTCGAGGGAAAAGCGAGAGCCATTTCGTTTCGCACTTTTAAACGTACGTCGGAAAAAAAAGGCGGGAGCAAAAAAAAAAAAAACTGTTTGGGGAAGCGGGTGAGGGTGGGGGCGTGAAGGGTCGGACCCGCGTGCGTTCAGAGGCGAAGGCTGCGTCTCCCAGTGAGCTGCCGCCCGGTCACTCGAGGACCGGGGTGGGGGACAGTTAGATCCGCAGCTCTCCGGGAAGCGCCTGAACGCCATCGGTACAGTTCGCCCACAGATTATACTGTCAATCGGCTGGACAGTAAATCACGTCAAGCACTTTGAGAGGCTCTGGAAGATGTGATAAGGTGAGATATCAAATGCAAGGATTGTTGTTATTATTATTATTATTATTATTATTATTATTATTATCTGCCTCTCCTGTCTGTCTGACTGACTCCTCGCATCAGGACCGGACTGCAATGGCCCGAATCAACTAGACAACGAGGCGTCGCGGAAAACACAAGCACCAGCACTTTTCCCCCACCCACCCCGGGGCGGTTGAAGGGGAACCATGTTCGGCTGAAGCCGGATGGTCAGACCCCCCCCCCCCGGAGGACGGGAGGCTGACTCGGTGCGCACGGGACTCCCGGCGGAGCCGACGGTTATATTTCAAACAGGGCCGCGCGACACCTCCTCACCTCGTCACAGCAGCCAGACGCTCCCAGCGCGCATGCGCCAACCGGCTCCTCCTCCTCTTCCCCCCCCCCCACCAGGCGTTGCCAGAGCAGATTGGGCGGGTTCACGCCCAATTGGGCGGGTTTTGTTGTTGTAGTGCCGAAAAGAAACACGACTTTGGGTGGGTCCCTAAATTATTTTTTTTTAATTTAAACTTGCAAAACGTTGTTTTTTTTTTCCCCCCCCTCTCCTCTGAAGACCTTTTTCTTCTTACAGTTTCAAAAAGCACCCACCGACTGCCCCTCTGAGGTTTGTGCTGACATTCCAGCGCCCATAGGAGGCATGGCATGTTATTTCGGAACAAGATCGACTTAAAATCTGGGAGATGTCAGGAGTGAGGTCTATCGTCCGTTTAAACAACCGAGCAGCGATTTGGGCTTGACCTGATAATAATAATAATAATAATCCCTGCATTTGACATAGCACTTGTCACGTCTTCCAGATCAAACTTGATCAAACTCAAATGCACGATCAGTGAGTGGGTTGATTAGGAATATACTGTCATGTCATTAATTCTATATTCCAGTACAGAACTGAGCCATTCGGCCATACAAGTAAATGTTCTGCTATTTTCTCCCCCATCCCTACACACACACACACACACACATGCACTCTCGCACACTTTGGCAGATGTGACACCGATCCCAAATCTATTTAAACAAATAAACAGTTCATGTTTTTCTATTTAAAAAAAGAAAGACTCCATCTTCTGATATCCTATCAAACATGATTTTGTTCTTCAGCGGGTTGTAAGCAGAAAGCCTCAGGATTAGGCTCAAGGTCTTTGGAATCTTCTAGCATTTGCTGGAGCTCATTAGCGATTTTCCCCTGACCTTGGTAATGTATTTACCCCATTTGTTCCCCCCACCCAAGAAAAATTAGTCCCATCTTCTCGTTCATAATGAAATATTCTTTCTATTTTTCAAAATTACACATAAGTAAAAGTTTTTATGAAATAAGGTTACCCATATAACCACAATACCAACAAGATTGGTGGCATATGCTTTCTTTCAGCTGTAAACAAGATAATCGCTAAATGAGACAGACATCTGCCTGATTTTGGAAATCGTTTCGAAATACACATTGATTTGATACATTTACTTATTCAAAATCTGTCACCAAAATGCAGTCAGCTTCTTAAATATCTACCACGCACGTACATCATGTAAAATACCTCAACTCCATCAAAATATTGTTTCATTTAATGAACTAAGGCTTTCTTGAACGACTCAGATTAAGCTCAGATGAACAAAATCCATGTAATAAGATTTAACAGCAAGCAAATAATGTGGGAATGCACGGCTGAAACCCACAATATAACGATGATAATAATAATAATCCTTGCATTTGATATAGCGCCTTATCACGTCTTCGAGGCGTCTCAAAGCGCTTTGCGGCAACAAGAGTGCGTGCGGTGGTGTCTTGTGAGAAGAACTGCGGCTACTATTTACTGTCTGCATTAATCTTCGGAAGATATAATGCACAGATGTGGGACTTGTTTACTTACAACGTGACTTGGGCTCAGGGTGACATAAGATCCTTCTGCTGTACATGTATTTCAGTCCGACTTTCCAGAGCTCTCCTCCTCGATAAGGCAGTGATTGAGCCCTTTGCGGATCCTCAGCTCTCCTCCTTACCCGCTAATTGGATCCCTCCCTAATGGCCTCTCCTTATCCCTCTTTTTTACCTCAAGTCACTTGGATGTAATATGTACATTTCCTCTCTCGGGGTTATTATTTTCTTCCATATAGGGTTGAAATGGTCGGGACTTTAAACGCGACACCGTCTTATTGATTGATTTATTGATTTATTAGGTAATCTATTTACATAACAGGCCCTTAAAAGCACAAATGCCATCGTATCGTCCAGTCGACAGATTTGGCTTAAAACTCCCCCCTCCCCTCCCCCCCTCCCCCGAGGGGGACCGTTTTAATACGTTTTTTTAAAAAAAATTAAAACAAAAACACGCGCACCGAACGTCAAGCATTTGGGGCTGAAAAGGTTTGCGGCCGAAAACGAAACCCAACATCGACACAACCGGGACCGGGAAAGGGAGTGTCAGGGGCTGAGGGGTCAAGTCGTTTGAATCCCGCGGCCGCGGCCGGTGATGGTGATGGTGGGGGTGTGGGGGTGAAGGGGCGGAGGTGAAAGGTCGGGCCCTGTCATGGCGGACGGCGGCGGCGGCGGGAAAGAAGGTGGGCGACAGCTCCAGTCCGCACCGGCGCCGCTTCGCCTCCGTCTCCCAGCAGCGCTCTCATGGCTGTTTCCCCCTCCGCGGGCTGCGAGGACGGCGCTTGCAAGATGAGCGACGAGGCGGCCCTGAGGTGGGTGTCGTGATCGATCGCGTCTAAAAACAAAGCCGGAGCCGGGGGCGGTGTGTGTGTGTTCCCCCCCCCGGGGCGGTGTGTGTGTGTCCCCCCCCCGGGGCGGTGTGTGTCCCCCCCGGGGCGGTGTGTGTGTGTCCCCCCCCGGGGCGGTGTGTGTGTGTGTCCCCCCGGGGCGGTGTGTGTGTGTGTCCCCCCCCCCGGGGCGGTGTGTGTGTGTCCCCCCGGGGCGGTGTGTGTGTGTGTCCCCCCCCCGGGGCGGTGTGTGTGTGTCCCCCCCCCGGGGCGGTGTGTGTGTGTCCCCCCCCCGGGGGCGGTGTGTGTGTGTGTCCCCCCCGGGGCGGTGGTGTGTGTGGTGTTCCCCCCGGGGCGGTGTGTGTGTGTGTCCCCCCCGGGGCGGTGTGTGTGTGTGTCCCCCCCGGGGCGGTGTGTGTGTGTGTCCCCCCCGGGGCGGTGTGTGTGTGTGTGTGTGTCCGGGCCCCGGGGCGGTGTGTGTGTCCCCCCCCGGGGCGGTGTGTGTGTGTCCCCCCCCCGGGCGGTGTGTGTGTGTCCCCCCCCCGGGGCGGTGTGTGTGTGTGTGTCCCCCCCCCGGGGCGGTGTGTGTGTGTGTCCCCCCCCGGGGCGGTGTGTGTGTGTGTCCCCCCCGGGGCGGTGTGTGTGTGTGTCCCCCCCGGGGCGGTGTGTGTGTCCCCCCCCGGGGCGGTGTGTGTGTCCCCCCCCGGGGCGGTGTGTGTGTCCCCCCCCCGGGGCGGTGTGTGTGTCCCCCCCCCCCGGGGCGGTGTTGTGTGTCCCCCCCCCCCCCGGGGCGGTGTGTGTGTGTCCCCCCCGGGGCGGTGTGTGTGTGCCCCCCCCGGGGCGGTGTGTGTGTGTCCCCCCCCCGGGGCGGTGTGTGTGTGTCCCCCCCCCGGGGCGGTGTGTGTGTGTGTCCCCCCGGGGCGGTGTGTGTGTGTGCCCCCCCCGGGGCGGTGTGTGTGTGTGTCCCCCCGGGGCGGTGTGTGTGTGTGTCCCCCCGGGGCGGTGTGTGTGTGTGTCCCCCCGGGGCGGTGTGTGAGTGTGTGTCCCCCCGGGGCGGTGTGTGTGTGTGTCCCCCCGGGGCGGTGTGTGTGTGTGTCCCCCCGGGGCGGTGTGTGTGTGTGTCCCCCCGGGGCGGTGTGTGTGTGTCCGGGGCGGTGTGTGTGTGTCCGGGGCGGTGTGTGTGTCCGGGGCCGGGGCGGTGTGTGTGTGTCCGGGGCGTGTGTCCGGGGTCGGGGCGGTGTGTGTGTGTCCGGGGCGGTGTGTGTGTCCGGGGCCGGGGCGGTGTGTGTGTGTCCGGGGCGTGTGTCCGGGGTCGGGGCGGTGTGTGTGTGTCCGGGGCGGTGTGTGTGTCCGAGGCCGGGGCGGTGTGTGTGTGTCCGGGGCGTGTGTCCGGGGCGTGTGTCCGGGGTCGGGGCGGTGTGTGTGTCCGGGGCTGTGTGTGTGTCCGGGGTCGGGGCGGTGTGTCATCACGACTCAAGGGCAGTTCGTGAAGATACTGTACTTCCCTTTTGATCACGTCTTCGAGACGTCTCGAAGCGCTTCACACTGTAAATAGATATAATAGGATCTATTCAGCCATTTGTATTGACTCTGTGTAAACGTTATGAATCTTGTGTGAACCTGATGATGATGATGATGATGTTGATGATAATAATAAAGATCTGGATGTTATTTATGGCTCTTGTCCGCAGCCGTACGCTGGTGTTATGGAAGTTGTGCCAACTGTGCACAGATGTTACGGAGTTGTACACATCTTGTGTAGATCTTACGGAAGATGTGCAAACGTTTAGGTCGATGTTACAGAAGTTGGGAAAAACACGTATCGGTTACTGCGGAAGTTGTGGAAACCCAGGTTTGAAACTGTGATGGTCCAGTTGTTAGTGGATTGGCAGATCACTTTCCGGGGGTAATAAGCCCTTTCCCTAAAAAGAAATGTGGTCACTCAATCCACGGCTGTTTGTGGGACATTACTGTACGCAATTGGTTGCCGTGTTTCGCCTGGAAAATACAGTCAGTACAATGTATTATACAATATATTTTGTGAAAACGCTTTTAGACGCCTAAGAGTCATGATAGGGGATTGCAGGTGCAATTTAATACGTAATTAACCGTTTTTGGGGGCGGTCAGCCAGTGTCTGAAGTGCGGAAACCCATCTCCATGGTTAAGAGTTCCACATAAGTTTGCCACTACACATGGAAATTTCCTTATGTCTAGCGTGGAATTCATCACAGGGTGGGAGGATGCAGGACCGATTCCCACCCTGTTATATGCAGGGCATATGTTGCCTGTGGGGCAAGGAATGTCGGAAGAACCGTGATCAAAGAGTTGTTGAGATACTGCAACTACAAACCGAAGGAAAAAAATTGAAGGGGAATGACATTCAGTACATGCAAAAAAAAGGTTTTAATGTAAACTGTCCTTCAATGTACTTTTCAAGTGTACTGATACTGATATTATCCATTTTTTTCTCTTCAAATGTACCGCTATAGAAGAGCTACATTGGAGGTAGCCCTGAGGAGGAAACATGATTGCGAAAAGAAAGCTCTTTTGATTGTTGAACGCCTCCTTGAAATGAATGTAACTGAAGACTTTCTGAGAGACTGTGTAAGTTGTTGTTTTCCTTTCTTTGAGACAAAGTTTTCAAATTGTAAGCAACTTAATGTTGAAGAGAGACATTGCATAGCAACAATGTACAAGTGCGTGTATAACTAGCTTCTATTTCTGTTTCAATTTAGGCCACGTTTATTACTCCACTTCACTATCAAGATGTTGTAGAGGAGCGTTCAATCATCAAGCAGTGTGGCTATCCTGTTTGTCAAAATAATTTGGTGAATGTAAGGCTGTTTTATTTATTTTCGATTTCTTTAGGGAATTTAGTTGTAAAAGCTAACTTGTATGTAATGATTCTCGATAAATATGCCTAAAAATGGAATTGATTAAATTACAAACAGATTCCAACACCATTGGTATTGTGGGGAAGTGTTGTGGCTTGAGGTCTAAAGTGAGGGATTGGAACCGGTGGGCAAACTTGGAAAATTGTTAACTAGGTTGAAGATGCCTTAGCAAAGTGTAATTGGGATGTTGCCCATCAATAAAAACAAAAAAAGTGGTTGCTGGTTAGAGCAGATCAACCTTTATTGAGAATCATTTGGCTAAGCTTTGATACTGTCTGCACTACACTTGCCCTGACAAATTGTTGCTGATTCACTAAAGTGTCTTGTACAAGCAATGATATGATCTATGTTATTTTTAAAATTATTTATATCTTTTCTATTTTTAGGTACCTAAACAGCAGTACACAATATCTACTAAAACTAATCGAGTTTATGATATTACAGAAAGAAAGGCAAGTACTTTATTCACACTAGGTTCACTAATTGGAATTGTTGGATTAATTTAATCTGCTAATTTCTTGTGATTTAATGTATGAAGCATCATCAAGTCTTAAAAGGCCATTGACGCAGTGATTTCTCCCGGATTGGTGATTGGGTAAATTAGGAGGATAAAATGAGTGAGGGATTTTGAAGATTTTAGTCAAACTCCTCTATATGAAGATAATAATATATACAACAACAACAAGATTCCATTTATTGAGCGCCTTTCACGTCGGGTGGACGTCCCAAGGCGCTGTACAGTTGGGTCAGGACCCGAGCAGGGGGAAATGGTCAGGGTGAGGGGAGGGAAGGGAGGGAGCGAGGAGGGGGTAGAGAGTCGAGAGGGAAGCTGAAGGCACGGTCAAAGAGAAAGATCTTGAGACCAGCCTTGAAGGAGGAGAGGGAGGTAGCAAGGCGAAGGCACTGGGGGATGGAGTTCCAGATCCTTGGGGCTGAGAGGCTGAAGGCCACCGATAGTAGGGCGGTTGGGGCGGGGGATGTGGAGCAGACCAGACCCAGAGGAACGGAGGGTACGGGCAGGTAGGTAGGGGGATAGTAGGTCAGAGAGGTAGGAGGGAGCAAGGCCGTGAATGGCCTTGTAGGTGAGGGTGAGGATCTTGAATTTGATCCTCTGGGGGATGGGGAGCCAGTGGAGGCGAGCGAGGGTGGGAGTGATGTGGTCGCGAAGCCTGGTGCGGGACAGTACACGAGCTGCAGAGTTCTGAATGACCTGCAGCTTGTGGAGGGAGGTGCCGGGAAGGCCGGCGAGGAGAGAGTTCCCATAGTCCAGCCTTGAGGTGACAAAGGCGTGGACCAGAGTTTCAGTAGCGTGAGGGGTGAGGTAGTGCCGTAGTCTGGCGATGTTCCGGAGGTGATGGAAGGCGGTGCCAGTTGTGGCGCGGATATGAGGGAGAAAGGACAGCTCAGGGTCGAACAGAACCCCGAGGTTCCTGACTGCTTTGAGAGGTGGAGAGTGCGGCCTTGGATGCTGATGCTGTCAGCGCCTGAGGTGCGGACGCGCTGACGTGAGCCAATCAGGAGGGCCTCAGTTTTGCGCACGTTGAGCTGGAGAAAGTTATCTTTCGTCCAGGACTCGATGTCGGACAGGCAGCTGTCAGGACATCAGGGGTCGTGGAGTTGAGGGTAGAGGAGGAAAGGTAGAGTTGGGTGTCATCCGCATACATGTGGAAGTTAACCCCATGTCTGCGGATGATGTCACCACAGGGGGAGCATATAGAGGGTGAAGAGGAGGGGACCGAGGACAGAGCCTTGAGGGACACCGCACGAGACAGTGCGGGGGCCGGAGAAAAAACCATTCGTGGAGACAAAGTGAAGACGGTGGGAGAGGTATGACCTAAACCACTCAAGGACAGGGCCTTGAAGGTTTAGGTAGGAGGACAAGCGGTGGAGGAGGATAGCGTGGTCGACCGTATCGTATCTAATTCTAGTATTTGGCATAGTACTTTCACTTCGGGAGGAGGTCTCAAACCGATTCATAGGATGTATGTGAAACTTAGTGACTGAAGTCACATAGAGAATTAAACGTTCATTTAGGCTTGCACATAAAGAATAGCCACTTAAGATGTCAGATGGTACAGAACTGTACTCTAGCGTTAATTAGTGCTTTCAAGAGATGAATTGGTACTAATGTCTTTTAAGGATGTAAAAATCAGAAAATTGTTAGATGCATTGTAACCAAATAATGTTTTTGTTTACAGAATTTTTGCAGCAATTTTTGTTATAAAGCCTCCAAATATTATGAAGCGCAGATTTCAAAGAGTCCATTATGGTTACAAGAAGAAAGGTGCAGTATTTGTTTTGCTTTTTATCTTTTCTATTTCCAACCACCATATGCTAAGATTTCCATTTCTTTAAGGAGAACAACAACAACAACTTGCATTTACATAGCACCTTTCACGTGGGGCAGGGTCTTGGAGTGCAAGAGAAGGAAAGAATAGGAAGATTAATTTTTGTTCAAACTATATAAAGATGCACTTGTATAATATATTCTTTAGCAATAAATTTCTTGTAATTCCTAAAGCTGGCCTTCTTCACTGCCAGGCCATGCTGCTTTGGTAATTTCATTCACAGAATTTCATTCCACCTGAGGAAGCTCCATTTATTTTAGTGGACCTGTAGAGTAATCTGGGAGCCGCCTGATCCCAAGACAGCATAGTACTGACTGCTTGAATATTAGAAATCGTTACTTGTTTACAGATGTCTTATATAATAAGAAGGTAATATAATTCTAATATCAGATTTGTACCAATCAACATTAAGTGACAATGAAAGTGGGGGTGCAGTTGATTATACCAGGGTGTTTTTTAGATTGGTGTCTGGTTCAAGTCCATCCAAGACAGAGAAAATGAGTCTCTTCTGCTGTATTCAAGAGTACTAAAACATGTTTTCAAGTAATTTTAACCCAGAGAGAGCTGAGACTGCTGAGTGTGAAAATTCAAACTCGTGCAGTAGTGGTGCTCTTCTGAGGGTTTTTACGTCATGTTATTGGGCAGAATGAGAAAAGATTCTAGGCATGAAAAATAATTGTAGCTTTTCTGTGTGTTGCAGACCTACAGTTTGTCACTTACTGAAAGGACAAAGGTATGTAGTACCTTAATCGTAAAGGTTTGTACAGTGCACCTGAGTTCTTTATCTGAAATCTTCAGCAACCCAGATATGATTGAACGGCAGGAATTTCCTAAAAGTGAATTGTAATTAATACATTATTGAACTGTGATGAAAGCACATAATGAAAGCACAAGTGACATAAATGTGCTTATTCTTTTTCCTATCAAGTTGAAAAGTGTTTTCATCCACTTGCAATTTATATCTTGTTTCCGTTTTGACTTCCTTTTTAATGCAATTTACTGACGTTTTTCTAAGAAGGTCTCAGCTTTCAGCTTGAATTTCTTTTTCTGAAAGACTTCTTAGTGCGTGAGAGTAGACAGTCATCAAAAATTGCTTTTATGTTGTATAATTACTTTGGTTTCAAAACATTTTTTAAAAAAAATGCACATACTTAAATGGCCACAAGATGGCGACAATGTCTGCAGCTGCAGATACACCTGATGGGAACATAGTGATGTATGTTATCTTCCCTTAAATATATATATTTAAAAATGTATTAATAAATTAATATTATATTAATATAATATTCATATTTAAAATATTACATATATTTAATATTAAATTTAATGTTAAATTTAAGAGATATTAAAGAGATTGTCAGAAAATTAGTTAAGGCTTTTTTTTAGGGCTTTATTAATATTTTTAAAAGCTTTTTGAAAAGTTGAATAAAATGGAACAATATTTTAAAAGAGCTTTGAACTCCTGTTTGATCCTGATTCCCCCCCCACCTCCTCACACTCTTTTTTTTTCCCCCTTTACTTTTAGCGGCAGTGCTGGACAGGAAATAAATTTCGAAAATTCAAACCTTCAGGTTTCAGATATTGCTAATTCCAGCATTGTGGAAGAACGGCCTGTGCACGAGAGATCGCCCGGTGAGAATAGTAGTAGTGATTCAGAGCAAGAGTTTCTTTCCACTATCCTTTTGAGAGAAAGATACAAATCTAAGACTTCAGAGCATAAGCTGCACAAAAAAACACAAGGCAAAGCTAGAAAAACTGAAAGAAATGATCCAATGGCAAAACATAAAGAAAAAGATCACACAGTTGGAAAAGTTACCGAACAATTGAAGAAATGTCAAATTAATAATGCTGAGGAACCAGATACTAGATTGTCTCAAAGTACACAAAACACACAGTTGGCTTCTATGCCAGAGGAATCTACATCTCCAATGTCTTCACAGAAAGTCATGGGAAAAGATCAAGCTACTGTTGCGCCTGGAAATTTTACTACGCAAGGTCTAAGCAAGAAGGGTGCTGCTTCACTGAAAATGCTGATAGCAAAATCAAAATATCCTAGTTCAGGAAGACACACTTACAAGGTGGATCGATCTGTGAAAACTGATATATTGGATTTGCTAAGACAAGCACTAACTGAATGGAATACAGAAGAAACATTAATATTTCTTTACGGTTCTAATTTCAAGTGCAAAACACTAGAATCGAACGAGTCAAGCCAAGTGACTTGTGTGAGTAAGCAAGAACTTGATGAAGATGACTTGGACAATCTAGAGGCAATTGAAATTGGAGATCCTAATCAGAATTCCAAAAATGATAATAGTTTGAGACAATGTCCTCCATCCCAAGGGTCAGCGACTAATGTTGGACCACTCCCAGATATGGAACGACTGAAGCCGGAATCTGAATGCCTTCACCTGAAAATCAGAGAATTTTATAAGGGGCGGTATGTTTTATCTGAAGACATTGATGGCAATACTGAAGAACATTTGGAATCCATAAATTATGTAAGTGCTAAATTCTATCTTTAATGTCCTGCAGAATCCTGGAAAGGTGGATTCTGAAATGTCGTTCCACTAGAAAAATCAAATGCTTATTGTGATTTTTTGATGTAATGGGTTGGGTTTGTAATGGTTTGGACAGGCTGAATGCTATCCCAGGAAATGATGGCCCATGTTGTATACACACTTACCGTCCTCACATGAGGTAGTTTTGAATTATTTCCCAGGCTGATCTGAAGTGTTCACTTCTGTTACACTAAATGGAGCCTCTGGGTGAATCTGAGTCCACCCTATAATATTCCTGACTGTAACAGCCTATTTGCTTAGGAGGTGAGTACTGGAGAAGTGCTAACAGCAGAGATCACTCTCTTTAAGTAGAAGATATTTTGCTAATGATGACTTTGAACAGAAAGTACCTTCCCTTACATAAATTTTTGTAATTCTGCTGCTATTTTTCTGGGTTATTCAGAAACACAGAAAAGAAAACCCGGTTCTTCCATTGGTGGATTCCAATGCCCAGCACCAAATCAGAAGACGAATTGTTGTGGAAAAACTTAAAAAAGCGTAAGTTCAATAAACCAGGTTCAAATGCTTGGGCTGCTTGTTTCTGAATTTTCCTAACTCTGTTTTGATGGCAATTGGCTGTTCACCACTGGACTAGGAAGAAATACCATGTGATACAGGAAAATTATACCATATAGAGGGGAAAATGATATTGCCCCTCAAAACTGTATCTTTGTCAACAGCCTGTGAGGCAGTATTGGAGCAAGCTGGATCTCAATCTGCACAGAGATCTGCCAGATACCCAGGATGATACGTCTTTTTCCAGCTTCTAACTTTCATCTATTTTAATTTGGAGTAAATATTGGATTGAGTTCGACTGAGTTTTGATATCCCAAGTTATTGGACTATTTCCATATACTGTAATCTCAATTTTCTAGGGAGCTGTGTAGTGTTGAAGAAAATGTCTAACTGTTGATTTTTCTTTAGTTAATAGAATTGTATTTTGTTATTATTTCACTGTGGTTTTATGTATTTCATTTCAGTTTACCTGACATATTGGGGCCTCTTCGACTTACAATGTGTGACATTTCTCCTGAGCTAAACAGACTTGTAAAAACATTCAGGTAAGCTCTTCAGTCTTTTGAAAATTAAACTTTTCTAACGTTTGAACGTAATTTGGATAAATCATCAAATCTAGGGTGTGCAAAACGTTATGATGAAGTGTCAAAAGTTTCAGCTGTTCAGAGATATGGGGGGAATCTAAGTCTGGGTGTCAGAGCTGAATTAACAGGGAGCTGAATACATTTTGGAGATTCACTTCTTGTAAAAAACCTTTTTGGTAGCACTTTCGCCTCTTGAGTCAGAAGGTTGCAGGTTCAAGTTCTGCATTGAGGACTTTGAGCTTGCGGTGTATGCAACACACAGAGGTGTTGCGCTTCAAATAAGACATTAAACTGAGATCCTGTCTGCCTGTTCAGGTAGCTATTAACCAACCCATGACACTAATTGAAATGAGGGGAACGTTTCTCCTGCTGTCCGCCAACAATCTTCTGGTTTAATTGATCATTCACCTCTTGGCTGTTGTGGGATTTTCTGTGTGAATATTAGTTGCCACATTTGCCCATGAATATTAAGTCACTACACTTAAAAGTAATTATTGTGAAGCACTTTGAAATGTTTTGACATGATAAGGAGCTATATGAAATGTAATTATTATATACGTTAATGCTGAATTCAATGTTTTTCTCTTTAAAAAAGACTGTGCTGGCGATGATGATAGATTTCCGAGTGCAGTGAATTGTGAATTTTTATCAATTGCTAAATGCTTCTGTAAAAATAAGCTTCAATACTTGTTACTCCTGCTCTCACTATAGGAGCTACACTTGGGGAGGCTGCGGCAGCTCCACCTCCTAACAAGGAGAGAGTATCGATGTTTTATTTTTCTCTTGAAAATCGCTTTCAACTTATGCCACAAACACTATTGCGCTAAAGAAATAATCACAAACAGCAGCTCCAAAACAACTGTGCAAACAGAAGCTCACACACACAGTTGTTTAGCTGCTGTAGAAATTGCCCTGTAACTTTTCTATAAGCCGAGGGTCTGTGAGCACTGGTTTGGGACCATTAGTAAATAGCTGGTGAAAGACCACCGGGCAGATTCAGCGATAGCAATTTTCTTCTTCACTGGATTGAGAAGCAATAGTTCAACTCTTTTCAGTCTGTGCAGCTGAGAAATGGACTGTAGATGCCCCGGAGACTCATCTCTGCTGCTACAAATCTTCACAGAAAATCCCCAGGTACCTGTTAGCGGTTGTTAAGAAAAACGGAGATGTTGAATTATTCCCTAGAGTTAACAAAGATTTTTTTTACCACAGTCTGTGATTAGGAGTCAAGGAGCAGAGGTTAGGATTTAAGTGTTTGATGTGAATAAAATGAAAGTAAACAACATCGAATCAGCAGTTGAGTGAAGGATATAAGAAGAACTGACATCAATTCAAATGGGGCTTGCAAAATGTTTCACGTTGACACCTTGTGTATCAAATATTAGCCTACTTGTCTACTGCATTTACAAAACTGATCAGGGAAATGTTTGGGATGAGATTTAAGAATAGCAAGATAAACGCCGCAGGCCTGTCTATAGATAGGTTAGTCGGTTGTGTTTTATGTTTCAAAGTAAACTACAGGAAAAATGAGGATTTTTGAACCAAAATGAGCAACTGTCAATTCATGATGAGGCTGCACACTGTAAGACTGATATTGGTTGCCTAGTCAAGGGAACTCAAAAAGTGAAAGCAGGCGTGAGAGGTATTGTCCTTCAGACGAGACATTAAACATCAGACGAGGCATAGTGTCTTCACGGGGAGTGAGGGGGATTGAATCCATGAGTCACCTGAGGGCACCTCTTCAGCTTCTCCTCGCAGCCTGCTAAAGAGCGAGATTAGCAGAATCTTGGGATGAATGTGGCCTTACGGTAACCTGTGTATTCCCCAGTTACTACACTCCTCCCCAGGACTCATCACTGCACTTTATTCACATTTGTGGACAAAACGCTCAATTTCACAACCGGTTTAGTATGATAAATATGGCTATCAAATAGCATATTATTTGTAAGGGTACATGGTTTCTTTTAAGAATCACAAACATTTTATTACTACTAATTAAACATTGAAAGTTTATTGTTATTTTAGAAAACTTTCTTTAAGCTCAAGTTAAAGCGATAGCTAATGGAATTTTTACGTTGAGCTTCTGTGTTTGCTGCAAGTCACTCCAGCTTGTGTCCCCCATTAAGCACAGCCTAATGCTCTGTCTCTTGACGGCCTTCAATTTTGCTAGCAGCAATGTCCTATTCTTTTTCTCCAGGTGACAACTTTTTGTAAGAGTTAACCGTACCAGAAATCTAGAATTAATGGACTGCTGCTGTTGATTTTGCACTTGTCCCTTTCTCTGAAAGCTTTGTTCATCTGAGGACCTGGCCCTGAGGTGCAGCTTGTTTTAAAAGTGACTGACCTTTGTCTGCTCCTGCGAACATAAATGTGCCACACCTGTAGGTTGTATGCTTTTAGTCCTCCTTTTAATACAGCCACAATAAGATGATTGCACTGTGACAGGTGGTTGCTTTGGGACTGGTGACTGAGCAAAAGGTTTTTTGTTTGGAGAAGCATGACTGCATGATCATTGAACACTCACTGTAGTGATGTTCATGCACGAACAGATCTATATGGCTGTACTTGAGCAAGTCAACCAACTCCTTCCTCGTGCTGCCTGTTTTGTAAACTGCAGCTTGATAGCAATGTACTGGGTGTTAAATTGCTGCCAATCGATACTTACATAGAGGTTCAGTTAATTGACACAGATAACGGCATCCCTTAGTTTTTGTAAGGGGGTGACGCCTCCTCGTACAGTAATCAATAATGGATCTGTGTAGAGCACAAGAATAAAGATGCTTTTACTGGTATTTTGCATGACTACCCCAGGTGAATCTGAGCTGTCTTTTCCATTGTATCTCATCATGGCAGATTAGCTGGGATGTTACATTTGAACAGACTGTCAAGATGATTCCATCATCCAATTTGCCTCTATGTTTACCAGCACAGAACTGGTCCCACTGCTCATAGTATGTATTTGGGTCTATTGATTTGGCACAAAATCTTCAAAACCATAACCCGGCTATTTGAGAATTAGTAAATAAAAATGCAGAATTATTGTCTTGTCATCTTCCAAACTTTAAAGTGTGTTCAGATCTGCTTGCATTGCCAATATTTGAAAATATACTGAACATGATGTGATGGTCATGCTATTTCATGGTAATCTGCCCATAATCTTGCATTTCTTACTTTAGAACAGTTATGGATGCGTTCTTTAGTAATAATACTAAACATTGAAAGTTTCCACTAATAAATTCAGATTTGAATTAAAGTGCTCCTAAATTTGACAATATTTTTAAAAAATTTAGATTGATTTTTAAGGCCATAATAACTTCTATTTAACATTCACATGACTGAGCTTCTCTCCCAACTCAATATATGATGTAACTTTAAATCCTGTGATCTGTGCTCAGATATTCTCACACAGTCGATGGGGTGAAAGTCTCCTGTTTGCTTCTTTGAATTAAGTTTGTTTAAGGTGCCTCAGTCCGTTTCCTTGTTAGCACAAATCCACGTCACAGAAATATCCACAATTCAGTACTGGATTGGCAAACCTGTCTCTGTCACAGCTGGATTGTGTGTGAAATAGGAAGATCATATTGCTGTAGTGGGGATGCTGTTTTTGGGGTGCAAGTTCTGGTGTATTGGAGTGAAGTAGAGCAAGCTTCATCCTACAACTGATGTGAAACGTTTTAATCCTGAGACTCGTTGCTGAAGTGGGAAAATGTTCAATTTACTTTTGAGCACCATATTGGCTTCAAATTATTACTTTTTTAAATGTTGGATTAAATCATCTTTGTTGGTATATCAATGCACCAGGGCATTTTAAAGAAGAGGCTAAGTCCATGGTGGCTTTTTTCCCACGTAAAAGGTCCTGATCTCGGCTGTCTCATTGGATTATTTATTATTTTGCCCAGAAATTATACAGTCAATTCACTTTACAGTATGCTCAGTGAAATGCTTTGAGATGTCTTGAAGATGTGATAAAACGCTATATCCAATTCAAGCATTATTATTATTAAATTATGGAAGTCCCTTTAAGACATTCATGTTTAGATAGAAAGGACAGAAGAAACAAATTGTATTTTTTAGTATCATGTCAAAACATCTCAAAGTAAGACTGTCACGTGAGGTGACTGTTTCATAGGCAAACTATTATTAGTATTAATACCTAGAACTCAGCACTCAGTTAAGAAACTGCTCTCTTAGTCAAGAAATCTATGGTCCCCAAATAAGAGGTAAAATTATGAAAAAAAACCAGTCAATTCATATAGAAATAAGTTAGCAGAGGGTTGATGAGCTTCACCTTGGTTTTGCTGATTGTTTTTTTTTCTATTTGATTTTCAGGCTAACAAACACAAATATCCTTCACCGACCCTCCCAATGGACCCTAATCGCTATTGTGCTGCTTGCAGTGTGAGTATTAAGAATGAGACAGGACCAAAACATCAAACCGAAACATGAATTTAATAATCAAAATACATCCAAAGTAGAACCAATTTAAGGGATGTAGTTTCCCATGTTTAAATGTAAAATTCCACAATCCAGATGTTTTTTCAGTATTTAGACATGGGTAAGTTTGAAACCTTTTGGCGTAACCTGGTTGAAAACCTTGTGAGAGTCTAATCTCACTTGCAAATTTTAGCACAGTGTTACTCTAAATCTCATATGAAGCACTTCATTTGAAATACGAAATTGGATGCTTTGCCTTTTAGAAAAAATCACTGGTGGTTTCATGCCATGTCAGAGAAATAACTTCCGTCCGAGTTGAAGCCATCAAACAATCATAGCACGTTTTTCAGCTTGAATTACAAGATCTCAGAAATCTTATTCCAGGCTGTTCAGCAGCACAGTGCTTTTCCTTGGACTTGCCAGATCAGGGAACCTCTAGGGGTAAAAGAGTACTTACCAGACGTTTGCAGGTCAAAATATGCCAAGGGCCAACCTCATGGCATTCTCAGCTTTGCATTTCTTTTTCTTGATATTACTTCAGTCTGACACATTGTTTGAGTTTTACTGTCTCAGGGAAGTGTGTACAAGCAGACATTAGTGAAGGCTGTGGTGAGCGTCATAAAGACAACTAGCATTCAAATGATTCATTAAATCAGAACATAGAAAGTAACTTTACTTCAATGCTTTGATATGAATTTTTAATCAACTGTAAGAACAAATCTTTTGTCATTTTTACTACATACTCATACGGGTGAATGGCTAATTTGTGAAACAGATCTTATGAATTTTTTAGAAAGTTGCACAGCTTAAATCACACAGGGTTCAGGGATAACTATTTTTTGTAATTTAACAATGATGTTATTTAAGTTTTGTGCTTGAGAAGAGTTGGGTATTTTTTGCAAGCCTCAGACAGATTTTGTAAAACACCAGCCAAAGGCACTTTAGTCACATTAGTTGGTATTTGGTTTATTTTATGATACTGATAATTATCACCAGTCAAAATATTTATAGATTCTAGAAAGATTGTAAAAATCTGTGCAGTTTTTAATTCTTTAAAGTCTTTATTGATATTAGTATTTTGTAAACTATGGATATTGTTTCTCCTACAAAATATACAGTCAATTCACTTTACAGTATATTCTATGAAGCGCTTTGAAGCTCTATGAAGCGTCTCAAAGACGTGATAAGGCGCTATATCAAGAATTATTATATCCAACTCTTCTGACAAGCCCAGAATAAAATTTTCACGTTGCATTTTCGTTTCCAAATTTCACAACCAGCTGAATCAAAGTGGCACTGGATAGAGAATCCCTTCTGAATTTGCCATCAAGTCTAAAATGAAGTGCAATACATGATGCCAAATGATGCAGATAAACACGTCTTTGAACATCTAGGTAGCATTTAAAAGCATACTTGTTTCTCTTGAGCTACTCTGCATTGCTGGGACTCTTGGTATCTGTATTATTATACCCTGGATGAAAGCTAATGGAAAGCTTTCAGTGCTTGTTTTAGAAAAAAATGTCTTGGCTAATTTTTTGTCTGAACTGGTTGATGGCATTGAATTGTGGTCAATTTTGCCAACGTACCTTAGATTCAAGATTTTCACTTAAAAGCTTGAGCGTGGTTTTGCTGTACTGGGAGAAGAGTGTTAGCTTTGGGACATACCATTTAAACATACTCCAGAAGGCCAAGATCATGGGACAAAAGGCATCAGTCGCTTCAGTTAGCTCTGTTGTTTGGAGATATACACAAGAGGGTTTGCTCCTCTCTTGACATTTGCTGCATCAAAATAGACATGGTCTCTGCTTTATTCTGTTCTTTTGTTTCAGATGTTTTATTCACCTTGTCTTCTTTGGGCGAAGGGAATGGAGGAAAGATTAGCATTTCACAAAACATATTTTTGGGATGTTTTAATTTTTCCAAAAACTATATAGGTAAATGGAAGAGCTGTAATTTAAGCTTTACTCCATCATATAAGTTATTTCTTTAAATAAATACTTATGTTTAAAACCTGTTGAAGAATAATTTGCCTGTCTAGTTAACGGGTTGGTTAATTAATGGGTGTTTTATAAGGACTAATATGGCTGAAAGTCTAATTTGCAATTAATGCTACTGACGTTTTGCTATTTGTTTTAATATCTGTGAATATTTATTATTGCAATTAAAGAGATATTTGAGGAATGTACCAAAACTAGCAATACCAAATAGCCTATCTGACGTTTCTGTTAAGCAACTTTAAGACAACAACACTAGGTTTATGGTACTAAGCACCATGCTATTTACGTAGTGCTTTGCCTAACAATAAATGTTTCTTGCATATTTCTAATCTAACAATTAGAAGTCATTATATGTCTGCTAGCACACAATACGTTGATGTAACTTGCACTCTGCATTTGACTAACTTTTATTTAGCAGTCATTTGTCAAGTACTTTCAAGATTAGTCTAATTCTTCTTGGCAAAGTATAGTAATCCTGCTTAAAGGTCACTCTGCCTACAAGCAATATTTTTTTTGCTCTAGATAAAGGCAAAATTGATTTTTTCTTCCTTTTGTTTATTGCTCATGATCTCTACTCACAGAATCTGTGAAATGGATCACACAGCAGGAACAACTGAGCTTTCACACCATATAGTGTTCTGCATGTTTGTGAAGCATGATATTAAATAAACATGAAAGATGTGTGTGTAAAAAAAATATTCTTTCGACAATAGTTTTGACATCTCTGTGCATTAACCTACACTACATTCCCAGAGGTAAACTTAAGGAGCAACTAATTACACCAGTTTCCAAATGGGGGATGGAAACACGCAAAATATTGGCAGAGGTTCAAAATCAGTTCCATGCTGAGGCAGCTCAATGATTCTAGTTGACTTGCAATGAAAACCTCTGTGTACTGTTTGACAGCGCCTGTAATGTAAAAATTAAATATTGTACCCACCTAATTCATTTTCAGTTAACCCTCAAATAATTACTACAGACCAGTTACCGTGATTTATAAAATAAGGCAAGAAATTTGGATCGATTTCTTTCCTTTGTCTAGAAATGTCAATTACCCCAAGAAAAATCCAAGAATATCAATGAAACAAGTGCTTGTATACAGGAGCTGGCAGCCGAGTGCACTTTGCCAGATGATGAATATGCTGTTTTGGTATACAGAGAATGAAATTAAATGTAATCCTGTGATTGCAATAAAATGTCATGTCTAAATCAACATGCTAAATGAGCTATTGGTAGTTTGGGATTATTGATGGCATATCTGTGGCCCAATTATGCCTCAGTTAAAGTCAGCATGTTATCTAATAAACAATATAATTGTTGTTTTGACCCTTATTGATAGTTTTGTGCTTTCTTTTAAAGATACCAGTTGAAATCCTATAGGTCTAACCTGCTCAAGAGATGTCATTTGCATTGAATTTATATATTTTTATAATGGTGTATCTAAACTGTTATCTTTAATCAGGTCTGAATTTGCCTTAATGAAAAAATTGGTAAATTCAACTCTTCCAGTTAGTAGAATCATAACATTTTACAACATAGAAAGAGGCCATTTGGCCCATCATGTCTGCCGATTCTGAAAGAGCTATATAACCATACAGTGCCATTTCCACCCCACCCCCACACACCCTTTTATATTTTTCCTTTTTAAATATTCGTCTAATTCCTTTTCTGAAAGTTATTATAGAGTCTGTTTCAACCAGGTAGGAGCATTTATCCTAATCATCCTCTTCATCAGAACAAAATTTGTAGCTAAAATAGTTTGTTAATAGATCTATAAGTTACATTTGTTGGTCGTCAGATTTTTTAAATGTTCAAGAATTTAATTAACAGAATGCAGTGAGTGTTCCATGTTATGAATTTCCATTTGGTGAGTATATAGGTAATCTTAATAATCTGCTGCACAGAAATTAATCTGCGGAACATAACATGAAACCAGTATAGATACTCAGCCCCCAAAGCAGGTCAGTTTACAACAACTTCAACAACAACTTGCATTCATATAGCGCTCTTCACTTTCATAAACTTGTTATACACAAGTTTCAGTCTAATGTGGAAGGTTTTGAAAAGTTTCAGGGATTGGGGAGCACTCGTGGCTGGGTAAGGACATGTATTGGATGGGAAAGAATTGTATGGGCACATTGAGATGGACACAGGTGCATTGGGGGGAAGGCGAATGGTCATCAAACAAGAGGAATGTTGGTGAAAGTTGCTTTATGAATGTCCTACATAGTGATATATATTTATCTAATGATAAATTGTCACTTTATTTTAAATGTAGGCTTCAAGTTAATAAAACTTTAGATTTTTAAAAATAAATCAGGTATACATACTTACCTACCAACAACGAGTAGTCGTCTTTGTTAGAATTGTTTTTCTGCAGGACTTTATTGACTCTAGTTGTTGTCTCAACCCTTGGCCACTTATCTTCTTCCTCAGCTGGTCAACCTCAGGTGTTGTACCTTAGCCAGCTGCTGAGAGAAACTGCATGTGTTTACGTAGCTAAATATTGTTAATATGATTACTGCACGAGACAGTATTAAAGCAAAACTATAATCAATTTTATGAACATTATCTCCACAGTAGTTTGTGCAGGTGAGCGTTAGTTGTAACACGATAGAGCAATGTTTGCTGCAGTTGATTCTCTGTATGAGGTTTCTTACACCTGTCCGTGCTGCTCTAAGTATGTATATATTGGCAGCTCCTAGCTCCAAAATTAAAACAGTTAACAAATGTATTGTTTGCAATAAAATCAAAAGGCGCAGGCAAAATCTTGAATTCCAGAATAAAAGCAAACATGCTCGTCTAGCCTATCTGATTAAACTAGCATCAATAAATCTATACCGTTGTTAGTGTTTATAATAATAATAATAATCCTTGCATTTGATATAGCGCTTTTCACGTCGGGAGGACGTTCCAAAGTGCTTCACAGAACACACTGTAAAGTGAATTGACTATATTTGTGGGCGA